ACCGCCACCCTCGGGTTTTCCCCTCTGGTCAGTGGAACCTGTGACCAGTGGTTCCTTCCTGTCCTTTTCCTCCCGGAAAGTGGCTCAGGGGCCACGGGAGCGTGACTTCAGACCTCTGGATGGGGCTTGGAGTAGAGGTGTGCCCGGCGGGGGGTGGGGAGGAGAACGCAGAGCTGGGTATGACGCTTTTGGCATCCCTTTCAGAAAGAGGGAAGGGGAGAGAGAGCGAGAGAGAACACAGCCACCAGGTAATTCCTTTGGGCAAGGATAGCAACACCTACAACCTCCCACTCCGGTATTGGCGATCATTCCAGTTTAGCTGCTAGGACATTTGCACCAATGGCCTGCGGTCTCCACAGGACCTAGTCTTAGAGCCGCACTTTTGGCTTCAAACACTGGGTCTCTCAGCCTGGAGATAGAAGTGGGAAACATTGGGTTTTGCCCCAAAGGTTCTGTTTTTGAATAGGGGGTGTAGGGTTGGTGGGGAATTAGGACTGATGTACCCGCAGACTTTTCGGTGAGGTGTTAGCGACGATTCCTGCCCTTCTCCCTTCAACAGTCCTCATGCCCTCTTGTAATGGTGCCACAGCTCAGCCACCTCTATGTAATCTTTTTTTTTTTTTAAATATATTTTATTGATTTTTTACAGAGAGAAAGGGAGAGAGATAGAGAGTTAGAAACATCGATGAGAGAGAAACATCGACCAGCTGCCTCCTGCACATCCCCCACTGGGGATGTGCCTGCAACCCAGGTACATGCCCTTGACCGGAATCGAACCTGGGCCCTTTCAGTCCGCAGGCTGACGCTCTATCCACTGAGCCAAACCGGTTTCGGCTGTAATCTTGATTTCCCTCATATTCCTTTCCCACCTTCCATTTCCCCCGTCCCCCACACTGAAAACAGTTCCCGCCTCCTGGGTTTTCTTTTTTTAAAGAATTTTTAAATTTATTTTGGTTAATCCTCAGCATTGATATTTAGAGAGAGTAGAAGGGGGCGGGGAGAGAGAAAGAAATTTCAATGTGAGAGAGACACATCAATTGGTTGCTTACGTGCCCTTGGCCGGAATCGAACCTGAGACTCATCAGTCCTTGGGCTGCTGCTCTATCCACTGAATCAAACCGACTAGGGTTCTTTTTTAAAAGAATTAATTGAAGTATACCAGACATGGGAAAGTGCACAAAGCCTTTGTGTACAGGTCAAGAGGTTATGACACAGTGAACATACACATATAACCACCTCCCAGATCAGAATTAGATCTAACTGGCACCCTGGAAGCCCTCCTTATATCCCCTTCCAGTCACTCCCCACCCTCCTTCCCATAGATTACTTTTGTGTGCTTTTGAACTTTATATAAATGAAACCATTCAGTCGGTGTTATTTTGTGCCTGGCTTCTCTCACTATTATGTTTGTAAAATTAATGCATAACATCGTGGTAGCATTAGCTAATTCATTTTCATAGCTGTATATTTTGTCATTAAGTGAATATACCACAGTTTATTCATCTGTTATTCTACTGATGGGCATTTGGGATGTCCCCAGTTTGGGTTCTTATGAATAACTAGAGGCCTGGTGCACGAATTCGTGCAGGGGTGGGGTCCCTCTGGGTGACCTGCAGAGATAGGGCCCCAGCTGGCACCCTCAGCCTCACAGAACCACAGCCCCGCCTGGCACCTCGTTTTTGGCCTGGCTCCGCCCCCCTCACCTGCTCCACCATCCCACCACAGTCCCGCTGGTCCCACTCTCACTGGGGCCCATTGGGGTCGGCAGCACCTCCACTGCCAACTGCTGCCAGTACCACATCGCTGACGCCCACCATGGTCTGTGCTGCCCCCTGGTGGTCAGTGCATGTCATAGCAAGCGGTCGAACTCCCATTCTCCCAGTTGGTCTCCAGGTGGAAAGACCACCTGAGGGGTCAGTTTGCATATTAGGCTTTTATTATATAGGATGCTGCTATAACAATTTTGTTTGTGTCCTTTGGTATATGTATGCTTATATTTCTGTTATGAAACATACCTAGGAACAGACTTAGTGGGTGATAGAGCAGGCATATGGTTAAGTGTTAGAAATCTACCAAATAATTTCCCAAAGTGCTCATGTTAATTTACACTCCTGCTGGTACTATCTTAGAGTTCCAATTGCTCCACATCTTCATCAACACTTTGTATTGCCAGGCTAAAAAGATAAAAAATTTTGTAGCTGTTACGGTGGTGTGTAGTGGTATCTCATTGTGGTTTAAATTGCATTTATCTGATAACCAATGACGTTAAACATCTTTTCATATATTTATTTGCCCGTTGGATATCTGTTCAAGTATTTTATCCATTTTGGGGGTCAGTTTTCTCAGGTTTTCTGTCTTACTGCTTTGAAAGAGTTCTTCATATATTTAAAATAGGAGTCCTTTGTTGGTTATAGGTATTGCAGATATTTCTAAGAGTGTATAAACACAGAGGATCTCCGTTTTGGGGTCTTCTGAAGCCTCAGGGCCACTGGGACAAGACTACACTTTATGCCTATTGTTATCACTAGTGTATTACCAGCTTCTGACACTTAGTAGTCCTCAATAAATGCACGGAATGAATGAAATGAATGAGACTCATCTAGGTCAGTGGTCGGCAAACTCATTAGTCAACAGAGCCAAATATCAACAGTACAACGATTGAAATTTCTTTTGAGAGCCAGATTTTTTAAACTTAAACTATATAGCTTTAGGTACATTGTTATTAACTTAATTAGGGTATTCCTAAGATGGCCTTTGCTAAAAACATCCTCAATCTGCGGGGTTGACCTCAGTGAACGTACCCCCACTTCTTCTAATGCCACTTCTTCAGAATAGACTCGCCCAGGCCGAAAACCGACTTCTGCTCATGGGCCACGAAGTTTCAATCGCACTGTATGTGGGTGCCCGCACGTGGTATTTTGTGGAAGAGCCACACTCAAGGGGCCAAAGAGCCGCATGTGGCTCGCGAGCCGTGGTTTGCTGACCACTGATCTAGGTAGTTTGCCATGTGTTGTGCTAATCCCTAGAGTCAAACACCCAGAAGGGGAGGGAGCAGATTTCCTTCCAGCCCAGGCAGCTGTGACCTTGAGAAGGGGAAGACACCCAGCTCTTCCCTCCCGAAAAGGCAGAAATAGCAGGTAGCCAGCCAGCCAGGTGCTTCAGAAGGAGAGACTCAGTTGGGGTGGAGGGGGGTGTGGTGTCAAGGAGACAGTGAGGGTGAGCATCATAGTGGACCTTCGTGTGACAATAACTTCAAAGTTCATGTAGGCCCCCCTCCTACCGCAAGACATGCCTTTTCTTTTTTCTTTTTTTAAAAATATATTTTATTGATTTTTTACAGAGAGGAAGGGAGAGAGATAGAGAGTCAGAAACATCGATGAGAGAGAAACATCGACCAGCTGCCTCCTGCACATCTCCTACTGGGGATGTGCCCGCAACCCAGGTACATGCCCCTGACCGGAATTGAACCTGGGACCTTTCAGTCCACAGGCCGATGCTCTATCCACTGAGCCAAACCGGTTTTGGCAGGATATGCCTTTTCTTAAAGCTTGTTAGCCGAAGAGCTTTTTTCCCCTTAGAAATACCTCCCTCCGCCCCTCTCCAGAGGAGGTGACGTTAGTTGTAGCATTTGGTCCCTACCTCCCCATTGGGAAGTCTTTTATTTTTTATTTTTTTTAACCATATCTGGTTTTAACTTCCATGTGGTCTGTAATGTCCATCCTGGAGCTGGAGGACTATTAGTCACTGCCAGCCCCTTCCTTTCCAAGAAGTCTTTCCCCAGACCTGTTGCATTCTACTGTGTTTTTCTGTCACTATCCTCTCCTCCTCCTTCAGCTATAGCTGGTACCATGTCAGGTCAGAAGTCTCTGGCTGACCCCATGACAATAGGAGAGAGATTTCTCCCTTGCCACATGCCAAGAAACTCACAGAATCCCTCTCCAGGTCCTCCAGAAGACAGCCAGGCTCGTGGTAGCTCCACACTTTTCTATCGAGGATGAGCTGGGGGTAGCAGTGTAGATGAGGTGCCATAAAACGGCTTTTGTGTGCAAGCACAGTGTTTTCCATTAGAATGCAAGATTACTGGTGGAGGTGGGAGATTTGGGGCAGGGGAGGTGTTGATCCCTGCCAGGGGCCTGTGGAGAAGCCTGTGAGGGAAGCACCTCGTGGGGCAGACTGCATCTTGGCTTGGCACTTTTCCTAACATACAGTTCGTTTAGCCTCCATCCTGAGGTCCTGCAGGCCCCATGGCCTTCCTTCAGGGACAGCTGCTGTCCACCAATGGCTTCCCTGTGGACACACTGGATACTCATCCCGGAACATTATGAATTTCTAGAGCCCTGTAAATCCTGGCTCTCTTAGCCAGCATGGTAGAGTCATAAGACTAGCCTGCAATGGCTGGAAACTTTTCTGCCTTTTGTTCCTGCTAGGGATGGGTACCCCCTCCCATTTTTCCCCTGGCTCTAACCCCTCCCCTGCTATCTCCCTCTCAGAGGTCAACTTCTTTCCTGCTACCCAGTGCTGAGGTGATATCCTCTTTCAGCTTCATTCAGTTCTAGGAGGATGTAGTGACGGGGGTGGAATGGGAAAGTGTGGCCATCTGTGCTCAGAGCTAGTTGCTAGCATCATCCCCTTTGCTTCTGTCTAATGGAACTCCCCTTTCCCAAAGGCCCCCAGATTCTCTCCCTGGGATTCCTCTAGGCCAGGGTTAGGGAACCTTTTTTTCTGCCAAGGACTATTTGGATATTTATATCATTCTTGGGCCATACAAAATCATCAACTTAAAAATTAACCAGCTTTAAATGGTCAAACATTTAATTAATTTACCCCTAAGGCCTGGGCAGGGCCAGACCAAATGATTTCTTAGGCCTTATACTGCACGTT